GTCAAGGAAAGTAGGGAAACGTGGAACCCAGGAAGAAAACTATTCATTTGGAAGCAACATGCAGAAGGGGCCCCAACATAGCAGGAACTGGCAGTCTAAAATCAGAACGTAACAAGGGTGACAGGAAAATAGCAGCTCTGGAGCATGTAGTTTCAAAAAGGAAGGACTTCCTGCTGCATTTTAGACAAACTGATGTCCAGCAGTATCAATTACACAATCCATTTGCAATATAATCCATTAATCTTGTAGTAAAAGCCATCTGTTTACAGCTTTCAAAGACACAGGAAGGGGGGATGGGAAGACAGAAAAATTAGTTTGCAATCCTGTATTAGTTTGCAGCACAAGCTGGGAGATTTTTTTTCTTCCAGAATGTTCTATTCAACGATTATGCCAATTCTTCCAAAATCCACCATATTTTCCACTTTGCCTTATAAAATTGTGATCCAAAGCATCGTTTCTTACCCCACATAAGTTAAGGAAAGGATGCTTCCCCGCCACGCCTCAGCTTTCTCTCTTTGCCAAAAATAGAATACATAGCAATCACTCTATAAAATCCTTAAAATAACAAACAGAGTGGCAAGATATAAACATAGCAGCAAGTAATTGGATTTTGGTCTCAGGGGATAAATATATGTATATATTTGTCTAAGTAAATGATCCACAATGAAATATATTCAATGCTTCTTTCTCTCAGAGAATGGGGATCTTTTTTCATATTCTTAGGCTGCAATGACACGGCCATAGATGAAACTCCACTGAACTGGGAGACTTGCATATGAATATATATTTAAAGATCCATACAGTATTGTCCTTTTCCTTCTTTTCATATTGGTACTCGGGAATCTCAGATTATTCTCAATCTGCAGCAGTTCTGAAGAAAAGCTGTTCCAATAGTCCACCACTCTTGATTTTTTTCAGTTCTGCAATTCAAGCTATTGTCAGACGGAAAGCACAAGATCGTCAAGAACTATTGTCCTGATACAACTTGAGGACACCCTTTGCTCCTTCCCCATGGTGCTTGTCAAAGAAGAGGCTGCAAACTAATTACCGGCCAGTTTGACATGCCAGCTGGATTTCTGCCTGAAGCAGCAGCTGTAAGTTTCTGTCAGGTCTGCAGAAACAAGCCCTGCTGTCTCCATGAAGTGAGCCAATCTCACACAAAGCTCTCCTAAGTTGCAACAAGTCAAACAGCTGGCATTCATTAACAATCTGGCACAAATCTTACCTCAAAGCAACAAACAGCCCAAATTGGCCCTATGAGCTTAGAGGCTCAGATCAGGCTTTGGATTGAGGCTGTTCTCTTGGTCGAACTCTTAAGTTTAGAAGCTTCCCACCCTGCTTGGTCTTGCAGTGGAATTCGTGTTTCTTTCAAGTGTTATTGTATTAGGAAGTGGTAACAGATGCAGGTTTCCTTGACTAAGGAGAGTAGTTGACTAAGGAGAGTAGTTGCGCTACTTCCATATTGATAACTTCTTCGCTGTGCTCTAAGAAAATCAACAACTTGCAGCATTGTAGCCAAGATTATCTAATGCAAGGGTGTCCAACTTAGGCAACTTTAAAACTTGGGAACTTCCACTCCAAGAATTCCCCAGCCAACAGCCTTAAAAGTTACCAAGGTTCGATGTTCCAGTTTCCATGAATGGACCAACAGAAACGGAGCTATTCCATAAGATAACCTGTGCTTTATTAATGATTTCCCCACCGTGTGCAGCACAGATAGCAGAAAGGACACTCCCTACCTCTCCATTTGTGATGATGTTCAACCCGTGCTCCGCCCAGATCTTGCTAAAGCGATGCAAAACAATTCTAGGCAAACATGCCAGAGTTTGTTTGTTTTTTGAAATCTTGAGAAAGAGCTCCCCTGAAAAAAGCTGAAGCATTTTATGATGCATTTACTGTTCACAAAGCAAAAATCAGGACCAAAGTACAGATTCCTCAAGTAGGATGCAGAGGAGCTAGAGAGAAGTAATATACCTAGCAAAGATGGGTGAAAATACACTCCGGTTCAAGAAAATTGAGGTTGACATGCCTCTTCCCCACCTTGCTCAAAGAATCCAACCCCTGCCTTCTTACAAATTCTCACTTTTCTTTACCCTCATTTTAGGTTGGGTTTCCACGTAACACATTTCAGATGTTGCCAAAGTCAGTGCAAGGGATTTATGGGCAGTTTGCTTTGTACTGAAAGGTAAGAGGTGGGACGTTACCATCGAAGCAGGAGGAGGAGGAGGAGCAGCATTTCTTCCCTCTCTTATTTTTTCCTATGAGATGCAGAACACAGAAGGACGCAGATGTAGTAAGAACCATTCACACAGAAATTCTTGGTGCTTCAGTGATTGCTTTGCTATAGGACAGGTTTAATAAGAAAAAGGGAAGATTTTCCCCCTAGAAAGAAAGGGGGGAAAAGAGAAGGAAGAATAGATGCAAAGGAAAGACAGACAAGGAGGAGAAAAAAAAGAGAAAAGCAATTGTCAAGAAAGTAAAGAAAGACTTTTTAAAAAAAAACAAACAAACCCTGTAGATATACAATTCTTGCAAAACCCCACACCATCCAGATAATTTAAGGATCATGGCCAACAGTGTTTGTTGCATATTTAACTGTTGAACATGTTTTTTTTTAAAAAAAAAAACCTCTCAAAACATCCTGCCATAATAAAGTTAATCAAGCTGAATACTTCCATTGACAAAATTAGTTATTGGCACTCAATCATTTTTATGTGGCCTTTGAGAAGCAGGAAGCAACAGCACACCTGAGACCCATGTGTACTCAGCCCACTTTCTCCTGGGCCTTCTGGATGCGTTAAACTCCAACACACGAACATTTTAATTAAGCAATGAATGTAGGCTTTTGTTGTCAAAAACATGTGAAAATGATCAGATTGAGGGTGGCTGGGCTACTTCCAGCCATTAAAATGTTGCAATTAAATGACCATATCCCATCCTAGGCTGCAAAAGAAAACAAGGACAGTTTAAGTAGTCAACCCCAACTAAGTACAATGGTTGCCCTCTGATTAAGCCATTAGTAGAAACTTTTAGCAAAATCTGCTCAGATATAAAATCTGAGCCACAGCATATATAGGAAAAGGATTATAACTCCCTAGGCAAAGAGAGAGAGAATTCATGAAGTTTTCCTGACACGTCAGGTATCAAAACCAATCCCATCACTATGAAGATATAGATATTAGGATGCCAGCAAGCAATGTTAAATAGGCTAGTCTGGTCCTGAAAGAAAAAGGATTATTCCCAATTGTTTTGTAAGACAACTTAGAAAATATGCTTGACCTTTTTGCATATAACAGAGGAGAAATTTAACCTGGGGTCTAGATTGATCATAAACATTCAGAACATCTTAACTGAAATCACATCTAAACCAGGGTGTTTAACTGATGCAGTCTCTACCCACACACAGAATGTAGAACTACTAGTTCTTCCTTGAGAATCAGGTATTACTAAGCAAATCACGCAGCTGTGGATAGTCTATGAAACTGGCAAAACTTCACAGCCTATGAAACTGGCGCATGAGAATCATATCCTGAAGGCTCATAAAACAAGAAAACCCTTAGAACTGACACCTTTATGCAAATACATTAAAATTCTCAACAACTTCTCCTTAGAAGAGAACAAATATTCCATGACTTATGGTTCACATTATGGGAGGATACGTCACTTGTGGATTGTTTTAGTGGTGTAAACACACTCATTATTTATCAGAAGAATTGGCCATGACTTTCTTAATGCATTTCTTACTGTTTGTAGCCATGTGCTCTGATACTGATATTTTGTTAATACAAGAAAGGTAGCTATAATAGAAGCCATATGGATGTCATAAGACATAAACTAAAAATAATATGATGAGGTCTGGCATCAGCTTCTTTGGTGGCCAGGGCTAACAGTGAGAGCAGAAAACTATGAAATTGACACCCTGCAATTCACTAATCTAAACTCCTAGATCCACCAGATATTGAGTCTGGGTAACTTTTTAAAGAAAAATTCAACTTCCTTTGTCCATGTCAGAGTATTGTTCCTTAGCTTCCTTGCTCACCTGCCCAAATTACCTACAGGCCTTTTACCCTCATAACCTGACAATAGCACCCTTTTCCTATGCAACCACCAATGTGTCCTAAAAGAAAGAAGTCAAAAGTGTGTGTGTGTGGGTGGGTAATTGTCATTCTTTGAATATCACAAAGATAAAAATATATTCTCTCTGGCAGGTAAACCTAGGCATCTCAATAGGACTAACAATACAGAAAGAAGGAAATTCACCCAAACTATTCTAAGAACTGATGTCTGAGAATAAAGACATAACACACAAAAAACTTCAATAATCAAAAACATTGTGAGATACTTAGTATTGCTACATAAATCTATGGATTTTTATAGAATTCTGTAACTTTATTATTTCTACTCAGGCAAAATATAACAGGCCCCCATGATTATTTTAATTGCATAAGAATAAGTTAACTCACTATGGGAGAGTTATTCATTATAGTTCTGTATAGGTTAACAAGATGACAGGTCAATTTACTGTATTAAATATTCAACAACAGAAATCACTGTAACACCATCTCTTTATGGTTTTATTATTGGAGGTTCAAATGTAGATCTACAAGGACCCCTCTGAATGATTTGGCCTGATTTTGAGATCATTGGCAGCAATTCTGGAATTGGGCAGACATAAAAGATTGGGGTTTTTTTTGTAATCTACTTTGAAGTTCTTATAGAAGCCTTGGCTTATAGTATTGTAATGGTTTTCTATTGTAATTGGTTTGTTTTTAAAGGCTTTCGTAAGTCAGGAATGCAGGGCATAGAGTTTAGAATTTTTTTAAAAAAAAATTAAAGCAACAGTTACTGATTTTGTTACAGCATGCAAAGCAAGGATCTTTCAAAAGATTAAGCTTCCTATTTCATCACTATGCAATACGAAAACATACCCAAAAGAAACCAACACCACGCACATATCTCTTTCATATGTGCACCAATCTCTTCAGAACTGCAACTCTTACCTGATTAATCACATAGACACCATAATCAAGCTGCTGCCTTTGCAGGATTGGATGCAGGTAAAACAACCAGTATTTCAAGTGTTCATCTCGATTTCTGAAAGGGATAATAATTGCCACTTTCTGAAGTGCTTTGCAGTCCTTAGGTGTATAGCGGCCTCCTTCCCTGAGTTCTGGATTTTCCTTCTCCACATTCTTCAGATTTACAGTTTGTGAAAACTCCACACGCAGTGGACCAACTGGGAGGAGGAAAAAAACACACACAGGATCAGACCAAAAGAGATTGTGGGTGGCAGGTGACATTTCTTTGAGAGTTATTGCAAGACTTTTAAAAGAATCTAAAAACTATGGTAGATGCCAAGGTTCATTCTAGCTATATTTATGAAGGCATTATATGCAAAACTCGAAATGTATCTCAAAATCTCATTTTGGGTTCCTAAGTGTTGCATCTCTGGAATTTTTTTACGATAGAAGGGTAGTATCTAAGCAAAGAGCTTAACATTATTCTCATAGGTACCCCCCCCCAGTCAAAAGTAAAGACACAATCTTTCTCATTTCTTATATCATTTTAGTTTAAAACTCTAGTTCATTGGCCCCCTCCTTCTGTTGCACTTGGTCTGGTGCTTGCATCCTACACCAGAGGTCTTCAAACTTGATAGGTTTAAGACTTGTGGACTTCAACTCACAGAATTCCTTCTCCAGTCATGTTAGCTCAGGAATTCTGGGAGTTGAAGTCCACAAGTCTTAAACTTGCCAAGTTTGAAGACCCTTGTCCTTGCCCTTGGGCACATCAAGCTTCCCTCAGCCATTGCTGATTCTGGACTTCCCTCCTCATGCACTTTATTGAGCAGGGTAGGGAACTGGATCTAGACCAGTAACTAGAGCATATTCCCTATACTGCTGGTTAGAATGATGATGGAGAGGGAGGGGGAGGTTGATATCCTAGATTAAAGAAATGGTCTCAAGGTTGCATGTGCTCATTTCCATTGCTCTTCCGAATACTGTAGTGAAACTGAGCACAGCATCAGCAATACATAAGAGACCCATTTTGCAAATTGGCCCTACCCCTGGCATACTCTTCACAGTTTTGACTTAAAACTTACTTTACTTATAAGTTTGTGTGCCACCTATTCCAAATATTCTTAGTTCCCAGATCTTTCAGAGGTCTTGCTATATTTCTAAGCTTGGTGAGAGCATCTTGGCACACCATGGAAACTACATAAAGCTTTTTGTTCTTTCTTTCAATGAAACTTGGTCATATCTGTACAGTGGTCAACATATTACAAGGCTTTAGGAAGATTTGGTTATGAGGCATTGCTTTATTATTATTATTATCATCATTATCATCGTCATCAGGTTTGTACTCAAGACAAACTAATAGAGGCATCGAACACAGAAGGTTTATTTTTCAAATGTAACGCGTGTCTTAAAAGATATTTGCATGTTACAATCTCAATGTTCAAAAATGTTACAATCTCAATGTTTCTGGTAAGAGATTTGTAATATAATATCCATTACAGATGGAGTCCTTAATCATAGTTAAGATACTACATCTACACCAGCCTGTAGGTACTATAAGCATAAATCAGATTTGTTACATCTGAATTACATCTTCAGATGATCTACTATAAAACTTTTCTAAACTAAACTCTTTTTATCACTTTAGGGGTTCTTTTTTATTGTATCACCACAATGACTATTTAGGACAAGCTAGTATTTATAATCATATCTGTAGTGGTATAACAGGGAATCTATATGGAACATTCTTGGATGAGATACTGTCTGGGAACTCCACATTGCCTTGTTCTTTTATCTTGGAATTAAAATCAAAGCTGTGAAAGTAACATAAATAAAATTCAAGTTGGCAGACAGTGATGAATTTGCCTAATTGTAATCCACAAACCTCAATCCAGCAATAAATACATTGCCATTCAGAAGTGGAAATTTATTACAGTCATTCTTAAATCACCTTGTTAACTGCCATGGGAGGTCCTCCCCGCCTCTTTTAAAGAAAAACTTTCAGAACTAACCACAGGCAAAACAAAACCTCTTTTAGGTTTGGCTCACCCACTGAAACTATGCCCTTCCAAATGCTTCCACATCAAAACTACAAAGCAAATGGAATCACTAACACTGCAGCTGACAAGCCATTTGCCTGGTTTCTGCACACTCTCTAACACAAACACATATGCACAATCCCATCCTCTTTCCACATTAGATTAGCAGCTCAGAATAACTGGAACAAGATCATGTAGCAAAAGGCTCCAGGAAGTCTGAGAAAGGGCAACATTTATTCTTCTTAAGAAAAATGAGACCTGATGGTAGAAGATGGAGATTTAAACATGTATCTGCCCCAATCTGATTAAAATAAGGGGTAGGAAAGACACGGCCGCAGTTAATTCTAGCTTTGGCAACATTATGACTGGTTTACTGCAATCTGTACTGGGCAAAACTGCATTTAGATATATTACTGTCTCTTGATTTTCAGATGATGTGTCACATGAAACCAGCAAAATTAAATTAAATAGATTCCCACAAGCTCAAAGCAAGGTTACAGGAAGATTACCTACCCATGTGCATACCCACACGTTTGCATGGTTCTTTGCTTTTCCTATGCCTCCTTCTAATCAGCTTCAGATTGTGCCAGATTCTCGTGTGGGATATGAGCTGCTCATTCAAGCAAACACCACAAAGCAGATACTTAGTAGGGTGGCCCAATCAAAGAAGGCAATACTTACTGCATCACCTCTGCCTTAGTCACTGCCTTGTCATCAAGAACAGCACACAGTATAGAAATTGTGATTCATAGAGATTGCTTCAAACTCTAGGAACATTCTTATTTGTCTTCTACAAATATTATTCTCCAAATGGTTGAGACTACAATTCCTATAATCTCCAGCCCAGCCTCCACCCAACTTTTCTCAGGTTTGGGAATAACTAAGCTAAAGTCAAAGATTCTAGCCAATTTGAGCAGCCTTATCAGCAAAGGGCTGTGTAAAATTGGCTATGGTGACCAGACCAAGAATTGTATCTAGCTGTTGGTTCCCCCCCCCTCCCCCCCATTCAACTGTGTCAATCCTCAGAGTCTACCTGGACAAGTCTCTCCAGTTTTCTTAGCAAGGTTTTTCAGAAGTGATTTACCATTGACTCCTTCCTAGGAATGAGAAAAAATGACTGACCAAAGGTCACCCATCTGGCCTTGTGTCCAAGGAAGAACTAGAACTCATGCTCTCTCTCTCTCTCTTTCTCTCTCTCCCTCCTTCCCTCCCTCTTTACAACTCAAAGTTGATCTAGAGTAATCTGACACAAACTCCTACTACCACTGAAAGAGAAGTCAAGAATCTGCTTCTTCAAGCTCAAGCTGTCATACGGCTGATTCTCCTAATTCATTACACCCTTCTCTCCCCATCTTTAGAAACTTGGATCTTCCAGTATAATAGCAGATTCCCTGTCATATTCTGCTCAATTTTCTATTACAGAGTAATGCTGTAAAAACAAATCCAGGCAACTACCACCCTGTAAGCTTACTATGCATACTTTCACTTTATATGCTAAGCATTTTTATACACTTACTGATGAGACAGTCCAACAATTTTTTTAGCAATGAAGCAAACCAGTTTTAGAACGGGTTTTCCTTTTGCTGATCAATGTATCACTTTGCATTACCACTGTACCCAGTATGCTCCTAGAGGTGCTCTTCATCCTATTTTCACAGATCTGAAAGCAGCATTTGATTTGATCCTTCATTTGAGAGGTTGTGGAAAAAGCTAGCAGTTTCCTTTAACTTTCATTGGCTCCTACAATTACTTATGAGGTACTTATTGAGATCCTGAGGACACAAATAAATCTCTAATGCAAATGACCAGCTGTTTCAAGGAATATAAATCCTTCCATTCCCACTATGCAGTCAGAGCTGAGGAAGCTTCTTGGATAAGAAGCAAAGCATCTTCAAAGAAAAAGGAAAAAAGTCCAGTTGCCTCGTGAAAGAGCACCTTTGGGGTGGCCCATGAATTCCCAGTCGATTTGAACATCACAGAGTAATAATTGGTTTTATAAGTCTAATGATTCCCAAAAAGAATGAAACTGGTCATCAAACTGGCTTCCTGGTCATTATGTGGTCAATGTTTTTTTAAATTAAAAATGACTTTGAGCCAAGAACAAAATTTGCTTTAATCAATTCTACTTTAATATACTTGCTACATTATTAGTCACTCTAATCAATGGCTGAGGAATTAAAATGTGCACTACAAGATTTATATCATGGAGCTCTAGCAATCAACAAGGAACAAAATAACTAGGAACTTCCATGTGTGATTATTCTTCCCTTATTCATAGTTACTACCCCAATTTGCTGCAGGAAATGAATAACTCTCAGTTTTTAAATTAAACTTGCTAGTCTTACATATCCCAACCACTCATGGCAAAGGTATCAAAAATTTTAAATGTGAAAAGAATAGATGCAAAACTGAAGACTCCAACAACTTTCAAATCTGAAGTAAAAATGTCTGAATCACTTTTATATACTCTTAGTGTCCTCTTACTCTTAGCCAAGTAAAATATTATCTGACGTTGATCTAACAAAAGTGTGCTCCAAGTTCTCATAAGTACTCCTGTACTTGGCTAGAAAATGGCTAAGATTTTTTTTCTCCCTGAAGTTCACCCTACAGACTTCACTTTTGCTATAAAACGATCACATCAGTGTGATTAAGCAAGTCATTTTCCAGAACAGAGACTACTTGATCCCCATTAAAAGGTTATGTTACTCAAATGTGTTTATTCCAAAATAACCTACCAAAAAACCCCACCTGGAATAATTCTAAAGAGTGAACTTTTGCCAAATAGAGAAAACAGAAAATGAAAAATTGCTTTGAATAATTCAAGATAGTTGCTTAATTTTTCTGGTAGTGTTTGTCACTCTTCTAATGTTGACCACTGCTTCTGTTCAATTTATCATAAAAGTTACTTAGCCTGCTTGATTAAGGGTAATAGAATAGATTCCAACCTCATTTTCCTCGTAATAAAAGAACATTTTCTCCTACAGTCCTCTTCCCTCCACCAAATAAACTCTCTTCCTGTTTTGCATTTCCAAATGAAGAAGTGTAAATACTACCCAAGCAATATTTCGTCAGATAAATGCTGACATCCATGCAAAGCTTTTTTCTGCTTTTTCGTCTTGTGACACATGCAGTTCCTTCAGAAAATCAAGTGAATAAGCACGTAATATAGTTCTGTCTAGATG